GATCCGGGTTTGAGGCATTCGGTTGTCTAGTCGCAGTGAGGAGCTGTGATACAGCGAAACATTACTGGTAAAGAACAAATAGAAAACATTTACCAATCTAACATGTTTCCCTTTTATTAATGCTTCATCAGAGAATGCGATATGGAGAAAAGAAAGAAAAAAATCCTGTATTTTTACTTTTGTGTTGTTTGATTTTCAGTGATGGATTTACGCTTCACATGCATTTGACTTGTTAAACAAGCGTTAGTGTAATTTATGGCGTTCCGAATTTATGGAGAGGCGTCGCGTCCCTTCGAATAATTATTATTCACACGCATGCGCAAAACAATAGTTACGGTTTTTCATAGGATACAGTAATAACATATGATTACAACAATGTGCATTGTTATTTAGAGATATGGAATCGTATATATCACGGAATCTATGATCCCCAAATAAAGAGATAAGTCTTAAATTACATATCCATTTTCAGTGTATTACAGAATATAGTAAGAACATGATTATAAAAAAAATTACAATATCACTTTAGGTGGTATATTTAAAGATATTTCCGTTCTCCAAATAAAAGGATATTTCTTAAATTTCCGCATCTACATAAACTTTGATATGCAGACGTGAAATTTAATTTTGTATATACTTTTTAAGAGCAATAAAAAGAAGATCTTAGTGTGAAAATGCAATGAAGAAACTTACATAAATAGATAATGCATTGAATCCTCTGGCCAATCTGCTATACCCAACTAACTGCATGAACGAAATAACGATTCCGAATACGGCAATGCTAGCCGTGAGGTGTGCCTAAAAAAAAAATAACTTCGTTAGAATAATTATATATTGTATACAGTTTTGTAAAGAAGTTATATATTTTTAATTTATTTATCCGACAGATTTTATCACATTTAAACGTAATTTTTATTGAATAACCATATTTGAATAAACGCTTCGTTAGATTATTAAACAGTATATATGTTTATTTTCGTCGTTCTGAATTTTCGAGAAAACTTATTAAAGGAAATTATGCTTTACCCAGCCCGATTCGAAATCACTGCATTCTGACCCCTTCGCAACCACCCCCACCACCAATTACCACGCGCAAATGTGACCGTCGTTAGATTAGATATGTATAATGAGCTTGGGATATACTTGTGATGGTGTATTGTGGTCTAATGGACAGAGAGGGCCGAATTCCAGTCGGGTTCGTTAGATTGACTTACGTACAAATATCCACCATTTCTTCTCCCTCAGCTATGGGTTGAATATTGGGCATTTTAGATTTTTTTCAGCTATGCAGTTGGGATTCATTTCAACATTTTAAAATAAAAAATTAGCACAATGCATGTAATATTGTGAATCTTCTTAAAGGTTATATTATTAACTTTCATTGTATTTAATCTATTACTAAAAAAAATATCAGGTCATCCCATAAGTTATGTCCGAATTTTGAATAAAGAAAACAAGTGACCAAATGTTACATTTAATTACAGATTCAATCAACAATGTATTTTCCCTGATTATCTATGACTTCTTTCCATCTATTAACAAGCTTACTAATTCCATTACTGTAAAATTCTTTTGGCTTTGATTCGAAGAACTTACAAATGTCAGTTTTAACCTCTTCCTGTGTTACAAAAGCTGTTTATTCCAAATAATTCTGTAAGCTACGAAACAAATGGTAGTCTGAAGGAGCAAGATCAGGAGAATAAGGTGGATGAGGAATTTTCTCGCAACCAAATTCTTTGATCTTTTGTGACGCGATTCTTGCTGTGCGGGGTCGCGCATTGTCCTGGTGAAACATCACCTCTTTTCGATTCACTAGAGCAGGTTTTTTTTTCTTCTAAGCTTGGTTCAAACGCTCTAATTGCTGGCAGTATATTTGAGCATTAATTGTTGCATTAGGTGGTAAGAATTCAAAGTGGATTATTCATTGGGGATCCCACCAGATTGAAAGAAGAACCTTTTGCCCATGTAGTTCCCTTCTCGGCTGTGGCTGGGGTCTTTCCCCTTTACCAAGCCACTGTCTACGACGCTTAACATTTCGATAAAAGATCCATTTTTCGTCGCAAGTCACAAGTCTATCCAAAATAGGTGAAACAAGTTGGCGAGAATAGAGAGAAGAACAGATGTCAACTCGGGATTTGAGGTTGTTTTCAGACAATTCATGAGGCACAATTTTTCCAAGTTTAGGACCATTTCCAAGTTGTTGAAGATAACGATGAACAGTTGTATAGTTTGAACCGAGAACCCCCTGCCAATTCCTCAACTGATAAAGCAGGATTTTCTTCAAGGGCTGCTTCAAGAAGCTTTTCATCAAACTCAACTGGACGTCCGGTTCGATCTTCATCTTCAAGGGTTAAATCTCCACCTCTGAATTTTGCAAACCATCTTCTGCAAATTCTTTCATTCACACATTCCTCTCCATAAACTGAGTGAATGTTTCTAGCTGCTTCGGCTGCTGAGTTTCCTTTCTTGAACTCATAAACCATTATGTGTCTCAAATGATTCTTGGGTACTTCCATGTTAGCAGGGTTTTAATCAAACAAAATTTAATTTTATTGTTCTCTAAAATAAAATTTGATCAGTTTAAATTCATCTAAACATAAAAATAATCTTCATCTCCATTAGACATTATAAAATACTCTTTAAATTTCGTCCATTTTAACAAAAAGTTAAAATTCGGACAGAATATATGGGATGACCTGATAAAAAATAAAAAAAAACAGTCAAAAACGAGAAGGATGTGTTGCATTGTTAAAACTAATTTTGACCAACGAAACTCAACACAATGCTCTGCCATATTATTTAATCTATTTACTATTTCTACTTACTTTAACGTTGGATGGTTTAAGCAAGATTATAGGGTTCCTGTTTTCTTTTTCGTGGTTCAGAAGTTAGCATAAGTCAGTCTGAGCTGTGTTTAAAATGGTAGCGCTCAAGTCAGCCATGCTCTGAGTTAGAACAACCAAAGAGAAAGCTTGATCTACTTCCAGGGTTTAGGTTTGGAAGGCATGCTCAAGCGCCTTGCGTTGCAAAGTGGGGAAAATGTCCAGTTGTCAGTGAACTGGCGAAGGAAGTAGTGGGAATACAATTACTTCGTGGTTCTACATCTTGGAGCAAGCAGAAGAAGCAGAATGAGGCAGAATATGTTTGACATTTTATAAACTTAACTGTGCCAACTAACGGCATTTTGCAAAGCCAATTTGGATAATCATATTTTCGGTACCTTTACTCCTAGTATGATTGGAAAATGTTTCTTTTTCTTTTTTTTTATTATTCATTTTTTTTCAATTTATTTATCGATTTTATTTAATTTTTCTACATGTCTTCCGCAAGATAATGATCACGGACTCCTTTTGTTATGCTAGAAACATACCTATTCTCTTGTTAATAGACTCTCCCACATATAATAATAGTAGTAGTAGCAGCAGTCGCCAGTGAGTCAGTCTTGACCGGCTGTTCGGTTGAACTCTCTGCCCCCGGGCTGGAGGAACTCGAAGGAGGCTACGCCGAAGGGCGGAGTCTCTTTCGGGGAGGTAAACCGGCCCTGAACCCGTTCAATGGACATATTTTTGGCCGAGCCCAGGGGGTTGGAGATCCCACGTTAAAAAGGCCTTGTGCCACATGACGCCCTTGTGGGGGGTGACTGAATATCGTCAGTCGATGTCGGACATTAAAGTATCAACCACCACAACTAGATTTCTGCGTCATTAACTATGATATCATGCTCCTAACGTTTTGTACGTCGAACATTTTTAGGACCGACTTGATGAAATACAAACCTCCCCTGTGAAACTACTCTATAACACCTTTTGCCATTGATAACGATGAATTGAAGGATATACTTCAAGCCAATCTTCGCATAAGCCTTTCAGGGATTTTTTACGGTTTATCAACTCTTTGCGCATTATTTAAAGCGGAAACCTATTTCGGAATGTACGAGGTTTCTTATAGTAACCGGTATTCCCAATCAGTCTCACACCTGAATACTTTCTGGTCTTTGTACTGATGAACTTCGTTGGTCGAACGAAAAACTGCGAGAGCTCTTAAGCTAGCTGCATGTTAGCATTTGAACAATTTTCGAATAGTTAGACGAAGTTAAAACACGAAGAAGCTTGACAACTGATTTGCATGAAATGAAAGAAAACCAGTAAAAATATGACCGTTAGGATTTCTTCACGTCGCTTCTTTTGCGCACAAAAACGACCCATGCTATGAAAAGTGGTTCGCGTAGAACAGACAGCGTTTAATAAAAGTGGCTGGGCTGAGATGAATATTCTAAACATAAAGGTAAGTCCAAATTTTATGGTGACTGTTTACTGTTCCATAGAAAGGTTAACCATCGACATCTTTCTGAATCCTGTCGAAACAATCATAACAGAGGAGAACTCTCCAAACAACGATGAAAGACAAGATTTAAAACTTTGCAGCCTATGTGCCCAAATTTCGTTAACAGTAAAAAATAAACTCGTCATCTTGTACGACTATAATCGACCTCACGCCATGCAACCAAGATTCCAGAATTTGAACAATTTAGGTTTCTCACTTAGAGATTTATCCAACCAACTGCCACTTTTTGCAACATACTGGCCATGTCCCGCAAGGAAATGTCTTCGACAAGCAAAAAGTCGCCAAAATGAAAATGCTTTCGGTGAATTCATCGCTCCAATAATGTCATAATTTAATGTTACCTGAATCAATAAATATGTAACTTGTCGGCGACAAATGTTTAGATTATAATATTGTTTATTTATTTCGATCTATGACCTGAGTAATAACTAGGTCCGAAAGCATTCATAGATAGGAGGTTTTGAGCAGCGTGTAAATGCTTCTTAATTGCTGTTGTTCCCACCCTTACCCTGACTCTAGATGGTAGTTTCTGTTATGTGCAAATAGTAAATTCCCAGACAAAAATCAACAGCACATTTTTTGTAGTAAAATGACCGAGAATAAATTTTTTATTGCAAAATGACAATCAATAAACAGTAAAAATTTATAATAAAATGACCAACAATACGCATTTTATAGTAAAATGAACAACAATATATAAACGTAGTGAAAATATCAATATTACATCTATTTAAAATTACCAACAATACACATTATCATCTACAAACTATATATCTAAAAAAAATTAAATTAAATTAAGTATAAAAGGCTTGTATTTAATGGCATAAAATTTCGTTCAAAACGTTTACATTTCGATATCAAGTAACACATTCCTAAGCAAAATCTATCACCCAATCAATCGATCCATGAAGTTTGTTTTGAACTAATATATGTATATTTAAAGTTAATCTTTTCAAACTTGCATTACTTTCTGCACAACTTGATCCAACGCGATGTTTCCAAAAGAGAATAAATATATATATATATATATATATATATATACTTACGTTAACTTGATATATTTTGAAGATATTCAGCGCTGCCAGAAGTATGATGAGAGCACAGGCACAGAGCTGAATACAAAAAATTGTTAATTAATACAAGAATATAGAATTCTGATTGTAATTATATAGACAATAGAATGTTGCTAAGACATCATTGTTTTAAACAAAGTCATACTTAAAAGTTATTCCGTCTGACTTAATGAAGACATTGAGAATAGAAAAAAAAAGGACACAAAAATATACTGTTCCACTCATAAAAAATAGGAAGCACATTTATACGGGGCCACATGCCCACAAGGGGGTCCTGGTAAATCTAATGGGGACTTTATATAATTGAAATGTATTTTCCAGCTTTATTTAGAAAAATTACTTATTGAATAGATCCAGGCATAGCTACTCGCAATACTCACTTATATTACTTTCACTTTTTTTCTGTGATGAAAGCGGAATTTTACTTCTTTGAGCGGTTTGATTCTTAAAACTAGCAGCTCTTAAGGCTATATGGATATATAATGCTGTTTGTTTCTTCTGGACATTGTAAAATACGCTTTTGTTAAAGTAAACGGTGAAGAGAGGGCACAAAAATCATCAATCAAAAGGGGGCCATGAATAGAAAATGATTTATTAGACTTTCTAGATGTAACGACAGTTAGAATCGAATAATATTGCTTTTTATTGTTATTGTAGATTAGCATCCATTAGACCAAAGTTTCTTAACCGGGAGCCACATAGCCACAAGCAGGCCCTGCTAAATATTAGGGGGTGACACAGAAAAATCTAGTGATTTGTGGTAAGGTCACAAGTTCAATGAAAGAGGCTACAAGCCTGCTGTCCTTTGTATTTTAGTTCTAATACACTAAAATTATGTAACTGAAATATATTTTTGACTTTTATTTATAAAATTTATTCTATTTATTTATTAAATGGTTCCACGCATACCTATCAACTCGCATTAGCCACTTATATTAAATTCCCTTCTGTCCGGTGAAAGCTGAATTTTTCCACTTTTTTAAATTAATCTTCATTATTAATTATGCTGACTTGTTGTAAGGATCACATTAATGATTAAATAAATGATAATGTTTTACTCTTAATGCATTAACGATGTATTATCAAATAATTTTCAACTGCATTATGTTACTAATGTGCGTATATGTAAAATTTATGTAGAGAGCCTTTTTTTTTATTTTGCAGAAGTTTTTAAATTTGTGTGTGGGGAAAAGGAAAAAGATTTCTCCCGCCACCACTGAAATCCTGACCCCACTCCTCGAGCTTAATTACTGCCGAGTTTAAAATATAAAATGATTTGACCGGTGGCCATACTTGTTTATTTTTTTTTCAAAAGTGTCAAAGGCCGTCGCAATGCTGACTGATACCTGCGTCATCATGCTATTGTGTCTGGCAAAGCTTAGTGACAAATTCCTTCATTAAAAAAAATACGAAAAATGTGGGCGGAAATCTTTGATTAGTGTTATTTATACCATTCTTTAGACTGGAACGAGGCTTTGGTAAATTTTATGAAGCCACGAATATGGTGGTACAGTGTCACCCGGATATAAGAGAGTTGTCGGGACCGGAGAAGAAGTCTCTTATATCCGGGTTTCTCTTATATTCGGGTTTGGTCTATTTTATATACATTAACACAGGCTCTAATTTGGGACCAGAGAAAATCTCTTTTATATCCGGGTTTCTCTTATATCCGGGTCTCTTATATCCGGGTTACATTGTAATAGGGGATTACAAGTTATATTAAAGAAAAACACAATGCTACAGTCTTATTACCCTTTATGTTTTAGTTCTAATAAAATTTAAATAATACTATAATTGAAATATATTTTTGAGCATTACTTACAAAATTAATTCCATTTATTTATTGAATGATCCACACATACTTACGAAATCGTAATATCCATTTATATTAAATACCCCTTTTTCCTCGGTACAAGCTGAAGTTTTCCACTTTTCTTTATTAATTTTCATTATTAATTATGCTGAGTTGTTATTTGAAAAAACCAGTACAAGAAATAAAATAAAATAATTACTTTTCTCATGTCGTTATCCCTCAATCTAGTAAATAGATTAATCCTCATTGGATAGTCAGATTAAAAGCAAA